GTTAGATTTGTTTCAATATTTCCAGTAAAACAGTTTTACAATCGTACATTCTGTATTCTATATGAATTTCCCACAAGTGTTTAAAAAAAACAAAAAAAAAAAAAAAAACAACACACAACTCTAAAAAACACTAAGTATTCCTACCAATTAACTTCCAACGTAACACCTTTACACTGAGAAACCCTGTCAACAATACATGATCTTCGTAAACTTCAATTTCATGTACCTTTCGTTATGTTTTTTGTAGTTGGAATAAAACCCCAGGTTTTTCTGAAGGTTTTATTTTGAACAACTTGGTAAAAATCCACATGATTTTTAGAAAATCCTTGTAGTCAAAGATGCTTTATAGCTTTGATAATTATTACAAGAGTTCTTCTGATATATTAGTAAACATTTGAGAGTTCGGCTAAATCCTCACTGCCAAAATGTTGTAACCTAGAAAAGATTACTGAATAAGAATAACCAAAATGAAGGTTGGAAATGGAACGGTAATCTTTATAACATTAAAAACATACAAGATTCACCAGTGGCATGTAGTAAGTAATTCACTGCTAGTGGTGAATCCCCACAGACAGTAAATTCCACTATACTTATGAGGTTTGGGACATACCCATTATAGCCCATAGGTACAGTATAGCAGAGATTCACTTTAAAATTCATCCCGATATTTCTCAAACTTGTCATGTAACAATATTTTACAGTGATTTATCTAACTTTTGTTTTCATTGTTTATTTTAATATGTCAAAATAAAAAATTATTGGCCATAGTTTTAAATAGGAGCTCAAAATAGAGTATCAAGCAATGTTTGCAGTATTAATGAAGTATTTAGTCATGAAACAAGGAAAATTCCCTAATTTAGAAATGGCGACAAGTGTCTTGAAAATGGAGAGTGATGAATATTTTTCTGTAATTGATGACAACTAATTTAAGGTCATTATTGAATATGTATGTGTGTGTGCTACTTCCTATTGTGTAAAAAGGTATGCATCAAACCAATTTTTTTTTTAAAATCATCTCACCACAAGCAAGGCAATAAAGCCACAAGATGCAAGACTTTACAGAGTATGAGAAAAAAAAACGTTAAGGAGAGAACAATAAGAGAACAGGAATGAAGACAGAAAATAACAATTGACACTGCATCTAAGCTTTTGTAGATCGGAAAGACAAAAGTGATTCAAGAGAAAAACTGTTAGCATGAGGTATCTCCATTTTGTCACGGAAAAAAAAAAAGAGGAAAGTAATTTTCTTTTATTATCTTATTAAATTTTTTAATCTTTTCTAGCACATTCGACATTTTGGTTAAAAATCTTGTTTTTTGTGTCAGAGGTCAATATTTACAATTAGTGTTTTTGTGCTTTTTTTTTTTTTTTTAAATCTTGGTAAAAAAATTTAAAGCAAGGTATCGAAACAGAGCAGGGTACCTAGTTAGCATGGGACTTATATCTAGCCGCCATTTCAACAGTAAAATGAGAATTTGCTGCCAATCTAGTAATGTACTTAAATTCATAAAATCTAGGTAACTCTCAAGAACGCCAAGGAACTACATATTGATATCTAACAGACAAAGGAATTCCGACTCTTTAAAGTGTTTATGCAAGCTGGGTTTCATAAAATTTATAGAATTATTATTTTAAATACTATCGAGATGATTCATGAAAGTAAGAAATACAAAAAAAATTAAGAAATTACAACCATTTATTACCAAGACAGATGTTTTAGTCCTTGAGAAAAAAAAAATAAAAAAAAATAAAAAATTTAGGAGTTTTTGTTTTATTTAATTGGGAACAAAAAAATAAATACATAAATTGTCCTCATACAAATTGAAAAAAAATTTGTTCATTAAAATTCATATATACAATTTCACACAATAAAAGGAATTAAATTGAAGAAATACATTTTGCTATTTAAACTTATTAACAGAATGCTGTATCCAATTGCAACTTGAAGTTTCTATTTGCCAAAATTAAATTAGTGTGACCCAAGGACATCTTCCTTCTGTAGTTACCATCATTCAAAACAAATGGACAATGCAGCTACTGATTAATTCTGCAGTGCAGTGTGTATATATAACAAACACACACATTTATATAAAAACCACACTTGTATCGGGTGCAGTGTTTTGCCATATGCAATTTATTGAAACAATTGTACTAACAAAACAAAATGCATAAATAGGAAAAACCGCAATTTGCTGGATATCTGTATAAACTGGGGAAAAAGAAAAAAGAAAAAAGGTCAACCTGACTTTCTCAGAACAACTTTAGCTGGTTGTTTATACGAGTACAGTGGACGGCTGCTTCTTTGCAAGGCATTATTAGTTATAGGTGGGTGTGTATGCGAGAAAGCTTGTACTCAGAAGTAACATAGCTAAAATTTGAAACAAATTCTGGAACTCTTTAAAACGATTAGTTAGGAGTGGATTTTTTTTCTACGTCTCATATTGCATCTTATTTAAGGTGAGAGAACTAGGAGAGTATCAGAATGTATTATTTTGTTTCCACAACTTGACTTTTGGAAATAAATTTAAAAACTAATAAAATAAAATTAGTAAAGTCTAGCGAAAGTCTTTAACAATTAAAGTTACCAACCCAGATTTTAAGTGAACGAAATCAAGAAACTTCAATAAATCAACAATCATTTCAAGTTGGCTACAATGCAAAAAGAAATCAAGTGAGAATCAAGTGGTGTTTAGTTTGGTGGGTGGGGGACAAAGATTTTGTAAAATTGCCTACTCGATATTTTTTAATTTAACTTCAAACAAATTCCAAATTTTTAACAACTGAAAAAGATGTTCAAATGTTTGTTTTCCCTAAAGCAAACTTGAAAAAAGAAGTGATATGGGCAAATATTTTTATGTCAATATACAAGTTATTTACTTTGTAGTATTTTTTAGAGGAAAAGATTCATAAATAAAAAAAATTCAAACATGACAGTACACTCACAGGGACACTGGCAACGGTTGTTTGTTATTGTGTACTACTCACTGTAAATACACGAATTCTGAATTTATGCTCAACAAATAATCATTGTAGTAAGCAAATTTGCAAGACAGTGTTACTGTTAGCCAGTGAAATTATAAATAATCAAAGAAAAATTATTTTAATATTATAGCTTAAAAGTTAGCTAAGAAGAGTGAAAGTGATGAAGTTAAAAAAAAGGAAATATCAATTTGAATAGCTGGGACCAAGTAAAAATCATTTAAGAGTGTGACTGCAGCATCTGCTTTTAATTGGTAGAGAGGGATATTTTAAGCAATCTATTTTTTTTAAACTTATTTCATATAATTACGTTTTTGTCTTAGAACTCAAAACCGGAACCCCGAGATTGTAATGACCAGCATTGATTTTCATAGTGTTACGACATAAAAAGAAGGGGCCCTTGCTTTGTTTAAAAGACTACAAAGACAGCAGCTTTTGGTCACATGACCAGCTTCTTAAAAAGTACAGAAAATGAACAGAAAAAAAAAAAAACTGAGGAAAAATGTCTTTGAGGGAAAAAAAAATTACTTATATTCTGAACCTTAACATTCGTTTTTTAACTTTGAGTCACTTACGCTCTCAAAAGTTTTAAAATACTGATCACTTTCGAAATACGAGTGGAGATAAATGATGGGTTTTTGTGTGCATAATAAAAAACACGCTTCATGATTATTTAATTGAAACTTTTTTTTTTTTTTGCAAATGACAACGCTCACCTAAAGCAGGTGTGTTACTGAAATAACGTAACCTGCTTCGCTCATTTGTTCTCTAGGTCTTCTTATGAAGTGCTACAATAAAAAAAAAAAAAAAACTCTTGGATTTACAACTAAAATTAACTATCCATACTAAAACTAACTCGGCTATACTTTCTGCAATGGACAATCACAAGAAAGCCTAACACATTTACAAACTTCTATATCCTAACAAATAATCGTTCGTCATACTATATTAAAAATGGAGAACAAAAACAATGAAATGACCCCCCACTTAAAGACCAGTTCTCCTAGAATAGAATTCGAGAAGCCAAGAGCGAAAGAGAAAGAAAAAAACTATTACAACTGGTAGCACCTATGAAACTAGGGGAAGATAAATTGATAAGTACTTATGGTGTACATAAAGACCAATAATACGCAGGTAGAGTAAATAAATAAATAAATTTTGAGCAATTAGCAGGGTACCCGAGAGAAAGAAAGGTAGAGAGAGAAAAGATTGTCCATTTCGATCGAGTGCAACTAGAACTGCAATGAACATTGTTGACCAATAATGTTATTTCACTTTTTAAGAGTAAATAATAAAAAGAGAGAAATAACAAAAATATGAAATAAAATTAGACGATACATTTTCTTACTCTGTGTGTGTTTTCAAATTTATTCAGATAATGGGGGGATAAAGACGATCATCTTGTATTCTTAAGGTTGGTAGCTTCTTCAGTAGAAAAAAAAAACAAAACAAAAAAAACCGTTTTACCCTCTACAGTACACCCATTTGTTGATTTATATAAGTTTTTTTATATAGTTTATATTTATAGTTTTCTAAATTACAAAAGTGCGGATGTTATAACAATTGAAAAGAAGTCTTAAATCAGTAAAAATAATAATTTCTACAAATAAGTCAAAGCTTTTTTAGTTTTAGATGAAAATGTAAAATTGACTAAAATGATGAACAGTAAATTTTTAAAATGAGAACTTTTTTGAAGTTCACGAAAAGGGAGAAAGAAAAAAGAACAGAAAATTACGAGTGACACGAGGAAAGTTAAAGTGTATTCATTTTTTAAAACTTTACCAAATCAATGAATAAAAAAATATCTAAACTGCCAAATTTTTATTTCAAAAACAAAAGAAAATATGTTTTGGAAAAAAATAGTTCAAGAATCAAGATCATATGAAAATATTTTTTTATAATAAGAGTATTTTAAGAAAGTTTATGAAGTTAAAATAGGATGACTTTACTTTGTTGTAAATAAAATAAAATGCGAAAGAAAACTTTTAAGTAACAAGAAATGAGAAAGCTTATCAACCTACCGATCTGTCAAATCAGCCCCGAATTTTTCTTCGAGTTTTCTTCGAACTTTTTTTGCTGAGAGTGAAGACAAGTCCGCGCCTTTGAGTATTTCTGAAATAAAAATGCCATGTCCAGCTTAAAAATGCCATATTTATTTAACATTCGATCAATTGCAAGGAAATAACATTATTAACAGTGTCTCTAGCTTAAAAGATTTTACCAGTAACAATTGATGATGATGATGATAATAATCGTGAACATTTGCGGTTTAGTTTTAGTAGTAAACAGTAAAATTCGAGTCAGTCTCGTGTCCAATTCAATCTCGGAGTACGACAGGAAATGGAAACGATTTGAAATGTTTCTCAGACTGAAAATGAGGTTATACTAACAGTGATACAGTTAATATTTTCATATAAACATAATATGAGCAATTTTTGATGAAAATAAATTAATATTAGCTTACTTCGAATGCTTTGAACCAACACAGCGTTACTTATCCCCGCCATTTTTGGAGTTTGAGACAAGCCTCGCGAGATTCACGTCCGACAACTGACGACAACGATTGCTGCTGCTATTACTTGTCTTGTAGTAAACACATGTCGCAGATCACATGTGCCTTCCAAACACATCCTCTTCTTTACTATTAATACTACGTAGTACCTTTGATCGAAGCAACGGACAATGGAGGTTCCATTGCAAATATCGAGGCTACAAAGAAAGAAAACAATCAATCATAGTTTAAGCGAAAATAATAAACAAAAACATCCTTTCATTTTGCCGGTTAATAAAAAATATAAAGAACCTGCACACATGCAACATGTCATTGGTCAACAACGCTAAAGCAACAGATTGGTGGTAGTCAGAGCCAAGTTGAATTTTTGTCATATTTCACCACCGATTATTGCTGGAATTCGCAGCACATTTTTTTAATTTTTACATTTAAGTTGGATAGTTGAAGTATTTTCTATTTTTTAATTTTTTTATTTAAACATTATCAATTAATTCATAACTATTTCTTAATGCTTACCATCACTCTCTAACCGAAGTAAATCTGCACTGCAGGTACTAATGTCGACATACAGTGACTAATAAACTAGTTAAGTAACCAAAAAAAAAGTTATGATCGTTTAAGTTAACCTTTGAAAAATTGAAATATTTGTACATCATGACATAAATGTTACTAAATGGTCAACTCAATTTTCCCTGAAATAGATATATAGCGAGAGATAGACAGTGGACATATACACTTTCTTTATATAGACAGTGTGGAATGTTAGTTTCAATGTGATCTTAAACCAAGTTTCATGTGACGATTGCATGAAGATGACAGTCACCATGCAATGTTGATTTTTATGTCCACACTGTCTATATCTATAAACGTTCTATCACTGATATTGAGCACTCTTATTCCTCTATAAATACAGCATATTTTAACAATTTATACTAAGGATTTTTTCACTGGGAATAAATGTATAGGCACATACAAAAACAAGCAAGACTCGAAACTCTGATGTGAAATTTGAAAGAAACATAAATTTATTGCAATGACATAAAAACAACAGAATAAAAGGTTTACAAATAAGTTTGCATAAAATTTTCCTTTTGTGCACCTTAATATTAAGACAAGATAAACAGTTAAAAAAAACAGAAATGTGACTCGTAGATACAGATATAAATTATTCAACAATCAAAAAATCTTTTGAGAAGGTACAATACAATTCCTTTCAATAAAAGGGTTCTAGCAATACAATTCCTTTAAAAAATGATAGACTTACTTATTTGAAAGTCAAAGCTGAAATGGTTGACAAATACATCAGAATCACTGAAACTTTACAAATTTATTTTTTTTTAACCTGGTTCAGTTATTAATATCAGAGACTTTTTACTTTTCTTTTTTATTTTAGCTTCTGCTTCTTTTTCTGTTTCTTCTTTTGTTTGCTTCTTTCATAAGAAACAGCCTGGTTCATCCACTGGTGACAGTGAAGATTCCTTGTCCTTGTGAAATCCTTCTCTAGGTTGGGCCCTTCTCACTTCTTGTAACCTTCTGTTTTTTTGTTTGTTTTTCAACAAAATTGATTTGTTATATAGGCCAAAAATAAGCTCCAGTAATGAGTCACAAATTTTAAATTTGCAGTCACCTTCCTCATTGGTCAAAAAACAAAAAAATGTATCTCTTTTAGAAATATGAAAACCAAGTAACAAACGGTCTGCATTATTTCAGCAGTTCTTTTTGAGTCATTTTATTTTTAGTAAGTTAAACAAACATTATTAATCATTTAATTTACATTTTTTTATATAAATTTTTATATTCTTCCCTAAAGTGAATGAGCAATAAACAAACTTAGTTTATTGTATTATTTTTAATTATTTTATATTCACATTTTAATTATTTTACATTACTTTCTTATAAAAATTTTTTATAATACACTTTTATACATGTATAAAAACTTATAAGGTGTTTTCAAGGACTCTTGACAATTCTGTAGGTTAGAGAGTGCACATATTTTTTAATCAAATGTAATTAACTTGGAAGTTGCTTTCAAGTCAGAGTAATGAATGGTGAAGCCAAAAAAGTTGCATATTTCAATCAGAGTTATGTTTCTCATGAGAGTACTTCTTCAATTATCTGTACTTTAATTATCCAGACATGAAATAAAGAAAAAAAATTAATTCATCCAAATACTTGGGGAGTGAAGACAGAAATAAACACCAAGACAGTCAATAATTAAATGACAAAAAAATGGTTTCTGAGTTAGGGGATGCATGTATCCTTCCATAAATTAATCCTTTGAAAATAAATATTTAACATTTTTCAACCAATGGGTCCCATTCCCGCTAACAATAAAAACATCCTTTATGATCTGTTTGAAGAGTATTTAAGTAAAGTCTCTAGACATACAAAATCAGTAAGGAGAAGGAGCAGCAACATACTGCAACAGATTCACAATACTATGGCTTAACAGAAATTCCCTTACTCACTCACATGTTTTCCTCACCAAGCTACAAGTGATAATTACACTTTCTTCCTCACTTTCTCCTATACCTCTTCTTTCCTCATACATACGCAT